TTCTGAGATTAAAGTCAGAATTCTGAGATTAAAGTCAGAATTCTGACTTTTTTCCCATACTAAACTGAAATTTTTTTTTAAAAATCAGTTAACTTTTTTTTTTTTTCAGTGGCCCTAATCCTCTTCCGTAGCATTTATTGAAAGCTGAATATACATATATATGTATGTAGGGGTGTGTGTGTTTGTTGGGGGCATTCACTTTTTTTTGAGACATCAAAAACAGAAACATAGTTTGTTAGAAGTAAACAAATGTAAAATAAAAATAGAGCCAAAAAGACTTACAAAACAAACATATCGATTTTAACAATAGCAAATGGGTTCAACTTTAATCATAACTATAAAGAAGAGTAATCACTGACACAACTTATTAAAAACATGTCTCATCAATCAGTGGAGTTCTTCTGGTTTTAAATTGAAAAGAAATCTCATCTTTAACAGAGAATAAAGTATTAAACTGCTTGAGCTAATCCTCACCCTGTTTTATGAAATTCCAAATATCCTCAATTTCCTGTTGATGTGCCCTTTTGCCTTTTGCAAAATCTTTCTTTTTTTTTAACAGGATATCTGTGATGGCACCCGAGAGTTCTTTATGCCTTGAAGTGCTGGATGTCGCCGCCTTCACTTGATCCAACATTGGATAAAACTTCTCAAGATCTTCTTCAAAACGCCGTGAGGCGACTTTCAGCAGGTTCTCAAAATCTTTCTTTTAAACAGAATAAACAAAGTCTTTATTAAATAAGCTTTACAGTGTGTGTATGTCATGTTACATGATGTAAGATACACAGAACTTTCTGCTTGTTTTGATTGTTCTCTACATGTGATGCACTTCATCCATATTTATATTTCTAAAATTAACAATAAAATATCTAAATCTACAATTTTTAAATTTTTTGTGTGAAATCTAATCTATTCTATCAAAAAGAAGAGTCATTTAACCAACCTTCTTGTCAGCTGCATCCTCCAATCCACCTTCATAGTATTCTTGAATTATTTTCTGAAATATTTGCAAAATAATGTGATGTCATGCATGTCTGAATAACAAGATCCTGAACTCGAGTCTCTTTCTTTACAGGGTAGCTGTTCAATAAAAAGGACACTTTTCTTTTTAAATAGTAGAAACAAAGAACTATTAAAAAATGATCTGTCTTTAAAAAGGACTAGCTAAAACAACATTCTCTTTATACACATTTTTTAATAAGGTACATACAATATAAAAATTGTATTCAAAACCTAAAAGGAAATTAAATTGTACATAACTTACCAGGTAATTTTTTTCAACCAATGAGTTGCTGATGGAAACTAATGCCAGCAGACAGGAGATGAAAAACAGACCTTTGGCAGATCTGACAAGCGCAAAATGTCTGCTTCCAGATAAAGCGGCTGTCATGATTCCTGGAATCCAACCATGGCAAAATATTGAAATTATTTTACCCAAACAAATTAACCTAAGCGTTTATATTTACTAACAAAAGAAAAAAACCATGTCTGAGATAAAATGTAAAAGAGCTTACCTACTACAGGTGCTGGTCATAAAATTAGAATATCATGAAAAAGTAGATTGATTTCAGTAATTCCATTTAAAAAGTGAAACTTGTATATTATATTCATACATTACATACAAACTCATATATTTCAGATGTTTATTTTGTTTAATTTTGATGATTACAAATGACAACAAATGAAAATCTCAAATTCATCATATCAGAAAATTAGAATATTGTGAAAAGGTTCAAAATTGATGGCTCCTGGTGCCACACTCTAATCAGCTAATTAACTCAAACCACCTGCAAAAGCCTTTAAATGGTCTTTCAGTCTAGTTCTATAGGCTACACAATCATGGGGAAGACTGCTGACTTGACAGTTGTCCAAAAGACGACCATCGACACCTTGCACAAGGAGGGCAAGACACAAAAGGTCATCGCTAAAGAGGCTGGCTGTTCACAGAGCTCAGTGTCCAAGCACATTAATAGAGAGGCGAAGGGAAGGAAAAGATGTGGTCGAAAAAAGTGTACAAGCAAGAGAGATAACCGCACCCTGGAGAGGATTGTGAAACAAAACCCATTCAAAAATGTGGGGGAGATTCACAAAGAGTGGACTGCAGCTGGAGTGAGTGCTTCAAGAACCACCACACACAGACGTATGAAAGACATGGGTTTCTGCTGTCGCATTCCTTGTGTCAAGCCACTCTTGAACCACAGACAGCGTCAGAAGCGTCTTGCCTGGGCTAAAGAGAAACAGGACTGGACTGCTGGTGAGTGGTCCAAAGTCATGTTCTCTGATGAAAGTAAATTTTGCATTTCCTTTGGAAATCAAGGTCCCAGAGTCTGGAGGAAAAGAAGAGAGGCACTTCATCCACGTTGCTTGAAGTCCAGTGTAAAGTTTCCACAGTCAGTGATGGTTTGGGGTGCCATGTCATCTGCTGGTGTTGGTCCATTGTGTTTTCTGAGGTCCAGGGTCAACGCAGCCACATACCAGGAAGTTTTAGAGCACTTCATGCTTCCTGCAGCTGACCAACTTTTTGGAGATGCAGATTTCATTTTCCAACAGGACTTGGCACCTGCACACAGTGCCAAAGCTACCAGTACCTGGTTGAAGGACCATGGTATCCCTGTTCTTAATTGGCCAGCAAACTCTCCTGACCTTAACCCCATAGAAAATCTATGGGGTATTGTGAAGAAGAAGATGCAATACACCAGACCCAACAATTCAGAAGAGCTAAAAGCCACTATTAGAGCAACCTGGGCTATCATAACACCTGAGCAGTGCCACAGACTGATCGACTCCATGCCACGCCGCATTGCTGCAGTAATACAGGCCAAAGGAGGCCCAACTAAATACTGAGTGCTGTACATGCTCATACTTTTCATGTTCATACTTTTCAGTTGGCCAACATTTCTATAAATCCTTTGTTTTTATTGGTCTTCAGTAATATTCTAATTTTCTGATATGATGAATTTGAGATTTTCATTTGTTGTCATTTGTAATCATCAAAATTAAACAAAATAAACATCTGAAATATATGAGTTTGTATGTAATGTATGAATATAATATACAAGTTTCACTTTTTAAATGGAATTACTGAAATCAATCTACTTTTTCATGATATTCTAATTTTATGACCAGCACCTGTATATGAAAAGAAGAGCTGCTGTTAAGGTGTGAATGGGAGAAATAAAAGCAGTCTCAGCAGTTTCGCTTTTTAAACACTTTCGTTTTCGTTTCTGATGTAAAAAAAATCCTGAGTCATCTGATTATGCTTTGACGCAAAATACAATAGCGGCATTCCCCTCTGGAAACAAAACCTACTGAAGTACATACCTGTCTGTTGATTTTCATTCAATGATCTAGAAAACATGTTCCAATCTATGATCTATTTAATTTTGTTTTCTTTACAAATTCTGATTTACTAATTATTTAAAAACAATAAGGTGATAGCTTCAATGGCATTGAGATAGGATCCCAGTTTTCATCTGCTAAATGTTTTTTCAAAGCAAATAAAAAAAAAACTTAATTGAGTTCTTGAGTTCTATTTTATAGAAAACGGTAACTTTAACTTAAATTGAGTCAAAAATATGTAAAATTCCTAAATTATGAATGTATATTGACCTACTAAGACATAGAATTTCAATTAAACCTAATTGAATAGATTTTTCACTTCATGGAGCTATATTAATATATTTGAATCCCTTGCCCTGTTTTATATTTAATGCTTTTCTGTGCCCCCATGAAAATACGCTGGCCCCCTCCAGGCCCCCTCCTGACCCCCTGTTCAATTTGGTCTAGAACCTTTATGCAGGTATTACAATTAATCAAGCACACATTCCAGTCTGACAGATATTCATGGTATGAGGTAATGTTAAAACATATAAAATGAAAACGAAACATAAATCTACCCACAGTTATACTGTAAATCTAGCAGCAGGGATGGGTAATTTTTTATTTTTTTTATTTTACTCTAAAGGTGCTGTAGAATAACGTTTCCAGCAAGCTATATTTTTTAACATACACAACCATGCCTCTCCCTTCAGACCACCCCTCAAAACCACACTTTTAAAACACATGAAAGCACATGTTGTCTGTTGAGGTGTTCAGATGAGGTAGAGAACGAAACGAGTTGAGACAGAGTGCTCATGACAGCAAATATATGTGAATAGAATAGTCATACCACTACCTCACCTTTGCTCCTTACCTACTATACTTTAACTTAATCGTAAATCCACCTGTATATAAGCCATCCGGATTGTACATATTTTTATTTTTTATTTCTTATTTCTTTATTTCTTATTTTTATTTTGTTTTTCATTGTGTGCGATACATGTACACTTGCACCTTAATCCTTATTTATCTTGATATACTGTATATACCTGGATATGCTGTATATATATTGTTTATTGTTTATTCTTAATGCACCTTTTTCCTCCTTGTTTGCACCTTCATTGACTTGTATGCCAATATGTGACAAGTGAATTTCTCCGCTGTGAGATCAATAAAGCTCATCTAATCTAATCTAATCTAATCTAATATAGCTGCCATTGTTACAGCCAAAGAAAGGATACGCACATCGGACCCACGTTTTCCACCACAAAGCTAGAGCAGCAGAGAAGCTTGAGCCGCACTTCAGAACTAAACTTGTACAGGCATAAAAAATTAAGCTGCTCTTGCTGCTTTAGGTGTGAATGTAGCATATTAGTGGCTAACTTCCAGCCATGGAGTCCTGCATGAGCACTGGGGGGGTCGATTTGTTTACAACAGACCGTGTTTTGTGATTGCTGGATGTTACTCATTGATTTCACACTGTAGTGGGGACCCTTTATTTAAGTTTCCCTTCCAGACCTTCTATTTCACTGCTTGCTAGGTGACTGTGGGGAGATCTTCAAGCCACATGGTAAAAAATGCATCAGGAAAGATCTCCTACTGCACCTTTAAACTCGATGGCAGCCCACTGCTGCCATCGAGGGGGGACCTGGGGAGCAATCCCCCCGATTTCTCCCCAGGTCCCCCCTCGATGGCAGCCCACTGCTCCCGAAGGGGATGGGTTAAATACAGAGGTAAATTTCTCCAATGTGAGATCAATAAAGTTTGATTATTATTATTGTTCGTTTATTGTGTGTTTCCTTTGGATCTGCTGGTGGAGGGCTGCAATGAGCTCCAGCTTTCCTCAAGTGGTTGTTGCAGGCTAATCAGTGGATCAAACCATTTGTAATGGGAAGGGAAATGTATTTATCATTTGTTTAAATATTCTTAGTTTGTGTATTTTGTTAATTAGTTAAATTTAAAAAGTACTTAGTGTCTGGCCAATATTTATCTGTTTAATTAAGTTTATTTGTTTTTAGTTTGTTATCCCCCTTTGTGTGTCAATAGTGGTGTGATCAGCCACTATTTAAGTTTCCCTCATGTCTTGTTTGTTAGCTCAGTTTGTGCTTGAGTTCTTCATGTTAAAGCCTGAATTGAATTCTGTTTTGTTGACCTCTGTTTTTGGGCCCAGTTTATAATTTTTTTAAACACTTTTTTGGAGTAAGTTAAGATTTTTTTTTTTCAATTCTGCAGTTTTCTGGCTGGTTTGTGCAAATTCCTCACAAACTGCTTGTCTGATGTCATCATCGGTGTTGTGTCTGGTAATTTTCCGGAGAGAGGAGTGTGACAGTAATTTAGTGTACATGTTTTGATCAGACTGATCATTCCACCAACGTTGTATCACCACAATCTGACATGCTCAGAGTAGTAAAATATGATTAAACCATGTTTATCTGCATTTTAGTTGTTTGTTTCTTTAGGCTACGCACTATATACCATAATGTTAACATGAAAGGTAAACGTAAAACTCAAAAAGACAAGATTTATGTTTACATCCAAAGCTGAAAAAGTTAGCTCCCCGATGTGGCGTAGGATCCCATTTCCGGTACCGATAGTGCATAGATGAGTGATAAAACAGGATTTTATGGCATTCATTTTCTGAGGATATAGTTTATTAACCTTTAAAACATTATACTTTAGTATGCGTACTATTATAGGGAGGGAAAAACTTAATTTAGGTCTATTTTACAAATTAAAATCGAGGGCGAACCTGATGTATATCTGGTTGCAAATGCAGGAATGGTACGGATCAGTTAAATAAAGGCTGTATTAAACGAGTAACCCTGTAAAGAAAGAATATGAATAGCATTTGTCCGCCAGACGAGCTGAACCTGTGAGGAAATGTTTAAGAACACGGGGGAGAATTTGAACAAACCTGAGCTATATTTGATGGCTATAAGACAAGATGATGGCACTGATTGTTGGAAGATGGTACTCTTGCTAACAGTAGCAGGACATGCTGCTCTGGATGTTTACAAA